GAATGTGTATTGTCTTTACACGATTGAAGTTAACTATTGACGCAAATCAGTTTTCTCTTGTCGTTATATACAACCGGTTACATAAACTGTTATAAGGAATGACAGATTATTGAAGCGGTATAAGGAACGTTTGTATTTTCCTTTTAAGAATTCCCTGGAACGAAATGAAAATACTTAGTGAAATGGTTAGAACGAAAGAACATTGATAAAGAAAGCAGGAATGGGTTCGCTGATTTCCTATGCCGCAACTCGAATCTTGACTCAGTGCCTCAATACAATGAAATTGTTTAGGTCACTTGTTATTGCCAATGCAGATTCTTTGTGCTTTTGTATTGTTTGTTTTGTTCCCAACAAATTTGGTTCAAGACCTATAACAAGGAACTCGAGATGGTCCTCATTCCAGAGGTAATAGATGAAGGCTGAAAAAACATATTCATCCCTTGACTAACGTCTTTAAGTCAAGATAAGCTTCTTTCGAGAAGTCATATCCTCAAATAGAATTGATTTTCTTCAAATGAGATGCAATTAAAATCAAAGACAATATAAATTCAAAGATTAAAGTTGAACCAATATTCAAATTACAGTATTGTGTACCAAAGTTCCCCCATTCCTAAAACAAATTAGCTTATGCTCAAAGGCTTGGCTGAAAATCAACAAAGAAAGAAAGAAGCAGATTAAGTTCTCCAATAAAACTAGAAAGCAATGTCGAAGGAGATGAAGAAAAAAGGATTGAAAATCTCTCAAAATGAAGGAAAATGGTGATAAGTGCAACAATATATGAATAGAGGAGGAAGATGTAGATTATGGTCATCGTGAAGAATGAAACTAAAAGGGAAAATTGTACACACACATAGAGAGAGAAAGAGTCCGCTCCTTTCTTTTGACTTTACATTCCCTTGCCTTTTATGTCATAAGTCACACCATCCTCCCTTCCTAATGCATCAATGGTCTTCCTTTTGTTTCCTTTTTCAATTTCCATCCAAGGTTGCTCCTTTGGTCCAAGTGTCGTATCATTTTTCTCTTTCCTCTAAGGGGGTGTTTGGTAGAGAGAATTTTTTGAGATTCCCAAAAAAGTGAATTTGAAAAATTTTATTTACCTATGTTTGGTACAAAGTTTGTAAAAATTATCTCGGGAATCCAATTTTCTCAGGAATTGGACCTTTGTACAAATTGTGATCCTGAATACCATGGAAAAATACCACAAAAGGGTGGTATTCTTGGAATACTGGATGTTGGGAAAGCTTGACACAATTTTTGGGACAAAATTACCCTGCCTTTTCGTGCCATAGCTATGATAGAGAATAGAAAGTGCATTTCAGACATTCACTTAAAAGATGCTGCTACTCACGGCATTTGAAATACCCAGCCACTTCCCGCCGACGTGAAGCTTTTCTACGATGAGTTTTCTTCTTCGGCTCCCTCTCACTCTGTTGTTGTTGTTCTCCTTTATGTCTTTCTTTGCAGTACTATCTTCACTTTCACCTTTCTCTCTCTCTCTGTCTCTCTCCTCTTTGTGAAGTGGTATGACATAGTTGTAAATTTATAGAAACTTTGATAAGTTGATGCTAGTTGGAGGGTTCCTGGTTAGAAATGTGGTTTTAGTTGTATGTATTTAGTTATTGATTGCTTGTCTATGTATGAACGGTTGCCCCGTTTTTCGGAGCCTTCATGAATCATTTAGTTGCTACTTGATATATGTTTGTTGGTGACCTTTTCTTATTTAATTATTTTTTTGCATGTATTTAGTTATTTCCTGCTTGTCTGTTGTTTCCTTTCTTCTATCTTTCTTCACTGTTGCGTTGCTATAATCTTTCAAGGTTGATGTTTTGATGCCTGGTAAAGGGTAATGCAACCTTCCTGAACAAATCATGCTTTTTCTTATTTTAAAACCGGAAGTGATTGCTTAATTATGCTAGCCAGACACTGAATGACATCAAATAAATTGCTTAATCGTCCTTAGGATTGCCAGCCACTGAATACATATAGCTTGGATTCTGCAACAAGGTCTGCAGCTCATCTGAATACATATGTAATTGTCAAGCCACATTAGAGAAGATTTCCCACGTTCACTTTATTCTCAATCATCTTCTTGTTTTTTTTTTTTATAACATTCTCAATCATCTTTAAGATTTGTTTTGGTTGGACTATTAGGCTTTTAGGTTTCCTCTTTTTACAAGTTTTTTGCACAATAAGAATAGAGAAAGAGAGTAAATTATTGGGCCAATATGAGGTGCAAGTCTTTTCCTCAAATTTTTTTTTTTGAAAAATTTCAATCTATTTATCACATCGCGATTAATTCCATTCGAGGCGGGTCCAGGATTAATGCTTCAAATTTCTCCCAAAGATGATATTGAGGAGATCAAACACATGCTTTCACTCTTACCTGCTGAACTCCCATGCGTCAACTGAACTGGTAAGTCTTTTTCTCACTTTTCATCTTCCATTACAATTGCAACATTTCTCTCTTTTATTCTCGATCAGCCCAATAACTCAACAATTTATATTTTTTAACCTATTAATAGCTCAAAACAGTAGTGTAAGAAACACATTTTTTCTAAGGAATGACCAAGATGATACTGAACTATAGGCCCATCAGCAGGTATTGTAGGATCGCTCGAATACAGAACCAACAAATAAAACAATTATTCAACAATGTCGTGAGGACTATATTTTACTAAACTTCGTTTGCTTCTCAATTCTTCATTACATCAAGCCTATTAATAGGCAACACAAAAAACTGAAAGTACTAATGAAGAGACACATTACAAAGCTAATCAAGAGTCTCATAACATCACTAATTAACTACTCATAACATCAGCCATTATACCCCTAATAAACATAACACTTTAACTTCATAACTCACATAAGAAAAACCAAGAGACAACTGACTCTTCAATATTTTAACTGACACAAGAAACTAAAGAGACACTTCAACATTAATAACAAAAAATAACGACTGACTTTTAACCTTTCAAAACTCCTAAAATAAATGCTAACTTCATGACTCATAAACTATCCATAACTGATAAATTTAAACCCATTAAAATGGAATTTAACGTTTACTTAACAAAACTCCCCCGTAAACTTAAATGTTTCTCCCATCCTTCATGCCGATCAACTTCTTGCAATTGTCGAGAAGTACCGTCGGTAGCGGTTTCGTGAAGATATATGCGACTTGGTCCCGGCTTGCCACGTGTACTAATTCTACACTTCCTTCCTTCACATGATCTCGGTTGAAGTGAAAGCGAACGTCGATGTGCTTGCTTCTCTCGTGATTCACCGGGTTCTTTACCAACTGAATTGCTGATTTATTATCAACTCGTATCACAGTTGCACCGAGTTGTTGTTGCTCCAACTTGCCCAACAAATTTCTGAGCCATTGATAAACCCTTAGTTCATAAGGTTTTTAAGCATGAATTAGCTTAATTTGTGTGATTAAATGGATGGAAAAGAGGGTCAATGTCCTGGAAAGTCCTAAATACAAGTTCTGGAAGATGTATTGAAAATTTACATTGTTCTTGTAGGGAAATGAAGCTCAAGAAGCAAAAGAGAAAAGGAAGAAGATTCTGAAGAATGGGAGAATGCTAAGTGTTGAGCGTTAAAACGTCCAAGGAGAACGTTTTAGCGCGCTGCTGCATATTGAGGCCTTAAATTGCTGGTGCCGAGCGCTAAAACGTCCAATGCAAGGGTTTTAGCGCTCTGATGTGCAAGAAGGTTTTGGTCGTGAACGCTAAAACGTCCAAGTAGAATGTTTTAGTGCTGAAGACAGTTGAAAGCAGTTGGGCATCCGTCAAAGTTGAGCGCTAAAACGTCCAATAGGGAACGTTTTAGTGCCCAAGTCAGTTTTTTGGTTAATTTTCAGGTGTGATTTGAAAACTATAAAAGGCAAGCGGCCTTCACATTTGAACAGATCCTGTCAGATAAATTTTGATCTGACTTTTCGTTTTCTCTGACTTTCCAAATTCTTTAGGACTTAGTTCTTGTATTAGTTTAGTATACTTATGTAATTGTGATTGAAGATTGAAGACTTAACATCATGACAATGGAGTTTGATCTTTCCTCTTCTCTTGTTATTTCTTTTGCTATGTCTGAGTAGAGTCCTTTGTAGTCTGATTTCAATGGAACTCAAGGATGATTTATGTATAGTTGATTGAATATTATGAGTTTCTTTTATGTGATGATATGAAGTTTCCTGTATTAATTCTTTCCATCAAAAGAGTAGTGTAGAACAGGAATGTTTACATTATTTCTACAACTGGTAATTTCATCATCAGTGTTCTAGTATTCAAGGGATTGATGCTAGGACTCTGATGTAATCTTTAAAATCTTAGTGTTGAATGTATGTATTAAGAAGGGAATCACCAAGGGATTGGGATTCTTGATTAATGTATCAATCAGGATAGTAAGGGATTACATCTTGTTGATAAGAAAAAGGTTGATTAGCATCACATGATAGATAATCCATAATAGAATTGATTCTTACATAAATTCATGCTTGAGGTAAATTAATTTCTGACTACTTGTTTTTAAAATTATAGTTCATATTCTATTATTTTGTCAAGTTCTAACACAATTCAAATTTCTGGTGACAATTATCAATGCAATCAATAACTTTTTGTTTGATTCAACTTAAGTATATATGGTTAGTTAGTGTTTGAACACAATTTTTGTGGGAACGATCTTTATTCATCATTTTATTACTTGTACGACTAGTACACTTGCTAAAGTTGCAACAAGTTTTTGGCGCCGTTGCCGGGGATTTGTTCTTCAACATTGACAGACACCATTAATATTTGAGATTGAATCTTTTATTTTCAGCAATTTATATTTTTGTGTGAAGTTTTGTTAATTCCAATTCTAGTGTATGCGAGGTACTATTAATCTCAACTCTGTTGTTTGATCCAGAATTAGAAAAGACAATTAGGAAGAACAGGAAGGCAGCAAGACAAAGAAAGCTACAAGAAAGGGGTGAAGCCAGAGTGACAATTCAGGAAGAAGTCATGGCAGAAAATCATGTGCCACCACCACAGAGGACACTGGGAGATTACATGACTCCCACAGTCATTCCACCGATTGGGAGTGTTGTTCGACCAACTGTGGAGCCTAATAATTTTGAGTTGAAACCTGCACTAGTACAATTGGTGCAGAAGGAACAATTTGCTGGTACCAGTGTAGAAGATCTATATTTGCACATTGAAAATTTCTTACTGTTAAGTGATACGGTGAAGATCTATGGTGTGACTAGAGATGCCATCTTATTAAGGTTGTTCACTCATTCACTGAAGGATGATGCAAGAAGATGGTTACAATCATTATTACCTCAAGGGAGTATCGCAACTTGGGATGATCTTCAGACTAAGTTCTTAGCCTGGTTCTTTTCAGCATCTAAGAAGGAAAAGTTGAAGGATGAGATTACAGGGTTCAAACAGAAAGAATCAGAGTCTATCTATGAAGCCTGGGAGAAGTTCAAGACATTTTTGAGGAAATGTCCACAACATGGAATCGAAGTGTGGAATCAAGCAGCAATATTTCTCCAAGGGTTGACAACCAACACTAGGACATTGGTGAATGCCACAACTGGTGGTTCACTAACAACCAAGACTCCTCAGAAAGCCCTTGACATCTTTGAATCTCTGGCATCTCAAAAGTTTGACAATGCTCCAGTTAGTGACAGAAGAACGGGAATTATAAAACTTGATGGTTATGATGCTCTGTTAGCCAAGAATGATCAGATGATGCAAATACAAAAACAACAACAACAACAGCTGGATGCTCTCACTAAGCAGCTATCTTCACAAAAGGTTGCTTATGTAGAAACTAATTCTGTGTGTGCAATTTGTGGGAAAAGCCATGTTACAGATGATTGTGATTATGGGGGATCTGTTGAACAGGCAGAAGTGAATGGGGTATGGTATGATCAAAGGAAACATAACAACCAGGGGCGAAATGTATATGTTCCACCATGGAAGAATAATAATCAACACCCAGGATTCAGTTACAGTTCTAATCATCAGTTGAATCCTCCACTGCATCCTCCTCCATCACATTCTTCACAACAAGGTGATACTTCTGCTTGGGAGAAAGCTTTTTCCCGGCTATCAAAGACCACTCAAGATTATATACAAGGGTCAGATTCTTTCAGGGAAGAAACTTTTGCATTCATGCAAGAGACAAAAACATCATTCAGGAACCAAGAAGCATCCATCCGGAATTTGGAGACCCAAATTGGTCAGTTGTCCAGGCAGATTTCTGAGAGACCATAGGGATAATTCCCTGGTGATACAATGGTCAATCCAAAGGAGCATTGTAAGTCCATTATTACAAGAAGTGGGCTTGTGCTTCAATCGGTTAACAAGAAAATGGAAGAGAAGAAAGTGAGAGAAAAGAAAGATGAGGAAGAAGTTGTTGTTGAAGATGTTGTAGTTGAAAATGATGAAGAAGAAAAAGTTAAGGAAGACAAGAAAGAAGATGAGGTAGTTGTGGAAAACAATTCTTCACCCAAGAAGTTGATGAAGTGGGAGAAGAAGAAAATGGCTGACAAGCAAGACCAGCCAGTTAATCTATCTACATATGCCAAAGTTCCCTATCCTCAGAGGTTGAAGCAAGAAATTCAGAAATAACATTATGCAAGGTTTCTAGATATTTTCAAGAAATTACAGATCAACATTCCATTTGCTGAAGCCTTAGAAAACATGCCTCACTATGCAAAATTTATGAAGGATCTCTTATCTAAGAAGAGAAAATTAAAAGATGGTGAGACTGTGGCTTTAACGGAGGAGTGTAGTGCCCTGATTCAGAAGAAGCTTCCCCCAAAGTTAAAAGATCCAGGAAGTTTCAGCATTCCTATTGCTATTGGAGATGTGGAAGTAGGAAAAGCACTTTGTGACTTGGGAGCCAGTATAAATTTGATGTCATTGTCTGTCTGCAGAGCTTTGGGGATTAACAAATTGAAAGACACTAATGTTATCCTACATCTAGCAGATAGATCAATTAAGAGACCAGAAGGGGTGGTAGAAGATGTTCTGATCAAGGTGGATAAGTTCATCTTCCCTGTGGATGTAATTCTAGATATGGAAGAGGAGGATACTGAAAGTCCTCTACTCCTAGGGAGACCATTCTTAGCCACTGCAAGGTCCCTAATTGATGTTGAACAATGGAAGTTGATGTTAAGAGTGAATGAAGAAACAGTTACCATAGATGTGTTTGAAGCTATTAAACATCCTGTTGATGTGGAGGATTGTTTCAGGATTGATATCATACAGGAGGTTGTGGAAGAAGTGATAGGAGAAGAAAACTCTTCACTTGAGGAGGACAAATTCAAGGAAGAGACAAGTGTGGAATGTTATCAGGAGGAACCAGAAGTTGAAGAGTTGGAAAACAAAGTTGATGATATCCCTAAGGGAGCACCCAAGGTAGAATTGAAAGAACTACCTTCAAATCTAAAGTATGTGTTTCTTGGAGATGATCAAACTTACCCAGCCATTATCAATGCATTGTTGTCCAAAGGGGAGGAAGCAAAGTTGATTAAGGTGCTCAAAAAGAACAAGACAGCCATGGGCTGGTCATTTTCAGACCTTAAGGGTATCAACCCTTCTTTCTGCACTCATGATGGAAGAGGAGGTTAAACCAGTGAGGCAACCACAGAGAAGACTTAACCCTACTATGAAGGAGGTAGTGAGGAAGGAAGTGGTGGAGTTGCTTGATGTTGGGATGATCTATCCTATCTCAGACAGTGCTTGGGAGAGTCCAGTACAGACGGTGCCCAAGAAAGGAGGAATGACTGTTGTGAGGAATGAGAACAATGAATTAATTCCCACAAGAACAGTCACTGGCTGGAGAATGTGCATTGATTACCAGAGACTTAATAAAGAAACCCGGAAGGACCATTTCCCTATTCCATTCCTAGACCAAATGCTGGAGAGATTGGCAGGACATGCTTTCTACTGCATCTTAGATGGAGACTCAGGCTACAATCAGATAGTTGTGGCTCCAGAAGATCAGGAGAAAACTGCATTCACTTGCCCATATGGAATCTTTGCGTACCGAAGGATTCCTTTTGGCTTATGTAATGCACCAGCAACTTTTTATGGATGATTTTTCTGTATTTGGTCCTACTTTTGATGCATGTCTTGAAAATTTGGATAGTGTTTTAAAAAGATCCCAAGATTGTAATCTTGTGCTGAATTGGGAGAAGTGTCACTTCATGGTGACAGAGGGTATTGTTTTAGGACACAAGGTGTCTAAAAGAGGAATTGAAGTGGATAAAGCCAAAATTTCTGTTATTGAGAAACTTCCCCCTCCCATAAATGTCAAAGGTTTGAGAAGTTTTCTTGGTCATGCAGGGTTTTATAGACGCTTTATAAAAGATTTTTCCAAAATTGCAAAACCTTTATGCAAGTTGTTAAGGAAGGAACAAGAGTTTGTGTTTACTGATGACTTCCTGCCTGTATTTAATATTTTGAAAGAAAAATTGATCACTGCACCAATAATCATGGCACCTGATTTTTCACTGCCTTTTGAACTTATGTGTGATGCAAGTGATTATGCTGTGGGAGTGGTGTTAGGCCAAAGAAAAGACAAATTATTGCATGTCATTTACTATGCCAGTAAAATTCTTAATAAGGCACAAGAGAATTATGCTACTACAGAAAAAGAGTTATTGGCTATTGTGTATGCATTTGATAAATTTAGGTCATATCTGCTAGGGTCAAAGGTTATTGTTTACACTGACCATGCAGCCTTGAAGTATTTGTTAACTAAGAAGGATGCTAAGCCCAGGTTACTCCGATAGATGTTACTTCTACAAGAGTTTGAAGTGGAAATCAAAAAAGGGAGTTGAAAACTTGGTGGCTGATCACTTATCCAGGATCACAGAGAAAAATCTGCAAGAAGGACCGGAAGTAGTGATTAAAGAAGAGTTTCCTGATGAGCAAATACTGGCCATAAGCACTGTTTCCAAGTTGGTGCAGGATCAAGTCTTGACAATCAATACCCCACCGTGGTTTGCCGATTTTGCAAATTACAAAGTTGCTGGAGCAATGCCTAAAGATTTCACATGGCAACAGAGAAAGAAATTTCTGCATGATGTACGGAGATACATTTGGGATGAACCATACCTCTTCTACAGGTGTTCAGATGGGGTAATCAGAAGATGTATTCCAGAGAAGGAACAACAAGATGTCTTATGGCACTGTCATGGTTCAGCCTATGGCGGACACTTTGCAGGTGAAATAACTGCAGCAAAAGTCTTGATGAGTGGGTTCTATTGGCCAACATTGTACAAGGATCCCAGGAAGTATGTGGAAGCTTGTGACAACTGTAACACCCTGTATATATCCGGTAATGTTATCATATCATCGTATTAAGCTGCGCTTAATTAAAAATGCAGAATATCTTTTTCTTTTCATTTATAACGTCATTATCATTACCAACTTGCTTAATTAATCATTTAAATAAAACCATGCCTGTATGTAAATTGCAAAAGACAGCTAACTGAATACCTCTTTAATAAAAATAACAGATATAAGTCTCTAGTCACGGAACTACAACACGTAGACCGGACAACCTACTAAGTTATACAAATCAACTCAAAGTACTAACATAAAGTGGCATGGACAAACCCCATGCTCACCCAAATAAGGCATCGAGCCCCACATAAGTCTCAACCCCAACAACATAATAATAAGCCAGAAAATATAAACAGCATCCAATCCAGACATGTCAACATAGATATAACAGCAATATCATCAGCTAAGCTATGGCCTCCTGCCACCAGAGGCATCAGCCTCTATATTACCTGAACCTGAAATAAGCGCCCCCAAACGTGGGGTGAGATCTCCAAACAAGAAATCTCAGTAAGACAAGGGGTCCTCAAGCATCTCCTATGGCTTCCTGTTTAGACGGAACACCACATACATATCATATAGTATTTTCACTTAACAATTCAATAGCATTTCGGCAAAACAATACATGAAAACACATCATGCATATAAACCATCCCCCATGGGACATGGTGGAACAAACAATGGCTAAACCGATGACATGAAAGCTTACCTCTTAAGCTAACTATCCAATCCAAGAGTCCACACAAGCTCAAAGCCCAAACACAGCAGTGTCACAATCTGTTATGGACCAATAATATATCAATAATCACACTCTACAAGCATACAACATAAAGACCACGCCTTTCCTTAACGTTTTACGTCTTAAGGCTTCACACAAAGCCACAAGCCCTTAATCACTTGATTCTAACTTAGTTCAATTATTACAGAAGTTCAACTTCATCAATCTGGGGCCCACAAACCCCAAACATCAGTTCTGGATGAACAGTAAGCTACTGTTCCTCAAAAACCCAGAATATCGGGATATTTGTCGGGGACATATCCGGATATCAATACCCGGATATGCATATCCGGATATCCGTATTCGGATATCAACAGACCCCATATTTGGATATCAATATTCGGATATCCATATCTGGATATTTCGCGACAGAATGCAATTTCTGCATTTCGCGAAGATATCCATCAAAGATTCAACTTTTAACACTTAAACACGTCCAATGATCCATTTTTAAGCATATACAGGTTCATACTCAGATTACACATTTGTTTAACTTATTAAACATGCCAAGACATCTCTTTTACTCAACAAAACTCAATATCAAAGGTGGTAACACTTACCCAAGTTTCAAGGCAATAGCTATGGGTGCTCTTGGAGCTCACACTTCAGCTCCAAGGTGCTGACTACAAAGAGAACAAAAATGAACCAACAAAGATGGGTTCTTTCTTCACAAAGGAAGATACTTGGAGCTTCTACAACCAAGAAATGACTCCCACTCCTCCACTCAAGAACTCAGCCCACCACACTCACTCAAACAACCACCTAAACTCAGAATACAAAGCTTAACACTCACCCCAAGACTCAACCACACTCAACCAAGGTGTTTAGATGAAGAAATCATGGAGAAAGGTGATGTCTTTGGAGGTTTCAATGAAGAAAATGAAAATGGAAAGGTGAGGGGAAGGTGGCAGCAGCCAATGACCAGCAAACTCACGTAGCATGACCTAGGGTTCTGTGCATAAGTTGTATTTATAGTCACTTAACAAATAAACACACAATATTAACATTAATTGCTACGCTTAGCATTTTAATCCCAAACTCAGGATTCTTAACCTACTCAATTTTACAAGAATTCTCATATTTTTCTTATATTTTTCGCAGCAACTTTCTGGTACGCGCTTTTCCCATAGCCAGTATCAGTTCTGGCACCAATTCTCATTATTTTAACTTGAAACTCGTTTTACAAGTCCTATATATCATTCTAGTAATATTCATGCACTTATTATAATTTTCTGGGATATTTTATCTGTACACATTTATACCGAGTAGCAGAACCGGTATTTACACTTTTCGTCCGAAAAGCGACTTTCAGCATTATTAACCACTTTCTATATTTATTTAAGCCTCATAATAATTATTAGGGTCAATTATGGAGTTATTTCCTAATTTCACATAATTAATCAATTAACTTCCTTAATTAACGGTGCGGATTCTCACAACAATTGTCAGAGGACTGGTAATATATCCAGGAGACATGAGATGCCATTAAACAATATAC